TGTTTATCTATCTATCTATCTATCTATCTCTCTATCTATCTATCTATCTATCTATCTATCTGGGCATTTGTTGCAAACTTCATGGAAAAGCTTCTTGCATGAACGTTGCTGGTCACAGTAACTCTTGTTTCCATCTAGAGATGTTTAGTTGATAATATTGGGTCAGTTCTTAATTGGCAGTCTTCGTCGATGTTAACTGGGAATGTAAGCGTTGCTGCCGCTGAAGTGGCGTCATATTTGGGTGTCGTTTGAATACAAAGTGGTCACTTGGTTCTTTAACCATTCAATGCGTAAGATGTGACTGTTCAAATGGACAATTCATAATATCCAGTATTGTACTTGACACATACTGCTATCACCCCATCATTCCGGTGCATCAGCAGATCAAAATGACCATGGAATTTTCCAACTGGAAGACTTCCCATCGCCTGAAATAAAAAACAGACGCTTATAAGTGCAGTATCAACTAAGATTGCGTCTGGGTCCGTATAATGAAGTAGTGGCTCACCTAGCGACCGTAGATTCACACCTTAATACTCACGTGCTAGTGTTGAAAGATCCTGTTGATCAATGTACATCAGTACCGAAACCGTCTCACGAACCTCAGTGTATAGCACTGATGTCCACTGAATCACTAGTATTATCACCCACGTTCGCTCGTACAGGTACAAGGCACGCAATTACTAACCGGCAACCATCCGGTCAGTCACAAGTGACTGAACAGCAGTGTGATTGGCTTTCACTTAGACAGCAAAGAGCGTCACTCATCGTTCAAAAACGGAAAACCACATCACGTGGCAACCTATCGACCGGCTCCTCGAGTGTCAACTTTTCAGATGGGAGCTTCAGTCATCGTGTAAAACTATTCTTCCTCTGAGCTACTTGTAAATGATTCATACAGATTCGACTTACTTTTGTACCGTGGCACAGAAGCATATGAATCATAAGGTACTCAAACACATCGCTTGGTTGTGCGTAAAGTGAGAGTGGCTAGGCTTGGATATCTAGATGCCTGGACTAGCAACCTTGCTGAAATTCGTCTATGAAACCTGAAGTTTCTGATCAAGTATTTTCACTCGTGACCGTCACCTATCAAAGGCAACGAAATACAAGTGTCACCTCGATAAATACACTCATTATCATAACAGTTTGATTTTCACAAGTGACCTGACGGAATCACTCCGTGGTGTTTCATGACTCACCATTTCACCGTATTTCATCACGTTACTTAAGACCGTCTTCCTTTTCACCGCCTCGTATTGCTCCTCCAGTGTACGCTTTTTTATGTCGTTCTGCGCGCGGGTGAGAAATAATGACAGAGGGGAGCTATGTGAGACAGGCATATCAGCTTAGGCAACTTCAAGAAGATCCAGTGTGGGCAAAACCGTGAGACCATCACTAGAGTTAAGACAACCGAGGTACGGAATGAAATACTTCTGGTAAATTAGTGAGCACTCCGCTATTCCTGGACGCCATAATTGCACGAAGAACACATCTGAATGATTTGATGCTCTAAGTTTCTGATCCCACCATCATTATTATCATCATCAACCATCATCAAGAGCAACAAAAGTTGAAAACTGTGATGCTTCCGAACATACAAGCATTATAAATTATTTGTTGTGGAAAAAGAAAGGATAGTGGAACAGGAAGGAAAACCTAATGCTAGCATACAGCATACACCGGAGATACCCACACATTTGACAACCAGTCAGACCATCTGGATAGAAGCTGACAGCATGAACTCCATTGACACATTGGTTCATTTCGACAAATGTATTGAGTCGAAGGCGTTCGGGAGAGCCACCATCATCATCATCATCGTTATCATCATCATTATCAACGTTACCACTGTCAACATCCGTATTCAAAATTGACGCTTCCCTGCGTGCATTCAATATCCAGTTGAGGCCCTATTCAAAAAGAAAGGATCAAAATGGATGAGGAAAGCAACCAGTGCTGGCCTACTACAATCATTCCGATGCGCCTACAGCTCCACATATTTACACAGACGAACTCACCCGAAAATAATAACAAGAACTCCAATACCATCGATTTGAGGGCATGATTTACAGCTTCTTTAACCAATAACGGTGGAAATCGGGCGGCCCCATCGTGGAAGGCGAATTAAAACTGTAGCACCCAGACGTTTGTTAGTCTCATTCCTACCCCTCTGCAAGCCTAGAAGCGAATCTGATTGGGAGGATGGTGGGAAATTTCGGAGAAACAACCAATGGTTTGATTATTTTGGGGCCATCGAACGGCCGTGGTGGCTGAATTGCCATAAATCCTCTGCATGCCAGAAAACAAAAAAATTTATGGTTTTAAGAATCAACTGGACTACCACTGGTTGGTGAATATTACAGGACTAGCCATCCACAACTGACAGGCTTATCTGTAACAGTTCCTTTGAAACCTACCTGTTCCGAATCTACAAGCCATATAAACGAGTATTCGTTTGCTAGACACACATCGATTTTCGGGTCCATACAAAACATAGCACCGGATTTTTCATCTTCCTTGGCTGAAGTTGTCGCGTAGACTGCAGGTTCAGGGGTTCAGACAAGAGAACAAACAGTATGGGTCAATATCAAAGATGTGTTAAATAGTGAGGCAAATTATCGACGAATGGATCCTGTGACTCACAGAACTAATGAAGCTGCAAGACGTCTAAAACTAACACACTACTCAGAAGGTCGCTGACAATCCAGTGACAAAACACAATGGTTTTCGTGCTTCTTGCGGCAAATCAGGTAGGCGCAATCCTTGAAATTTCCTAAAACTTAATAAAAACTTGAACCCAGATTGGGCGGAAGTTGCCAAACACTCTCATAAATGAGATATTTATCTGGGTTCCTTTGGGTCATCCCGTCAAAATCAAATATGTGTGTAAATGGATAACCAGTTTCTTATGATGAACCCCTCAAAAAAAGACCATTGACGAGAATGGTCAAATATTGGGACGCCACAATAATTAAACCTGGTAGTTAATGGGTTAAAGTGTACTTTTCATAAAAGGCAAGATCCATTGAGAATTTACAATGAAGCTATCCACTTGGCATTGGTGGATGCAGCAAAGTGACACCAAAATACCACTGGGGTTGTACCGGTTATGCAATGATTTCCTCTACACATATGAAACTGGTTCAGCTGCGGAAGCGCCATTAATCGATGAAGGATCGGCTTCCTTAGTAGAGTCATGGGCTACTTCCATACAAAATCGTCGAGTGAACAAACATGAAACAAGTTTGGAACTTCGTTCCGTTTTACTGGTCAACGTTGCATGTAAAGCGTATAAAAGATTGAGGTTCACAACGACATTTAAGAGGATCCATGCAAGAAGCAGCCAGAAGTTGACGCTACTTACTTCCCATATTTGTAGGAAGAACATCTTTAAACATAGAGCCAGAGTAGCAAGCCTCCACGTATAGCACCAATTTGTTGAACTTTTTTTTTGAATGCATGTAGGCGAGGGTATCGTTCAACTCCATGGCATACAACTGTCACAAGGCAAGAAGAAAATTTCTCGTGAGCTCGAGATGAGTTACTCGATGAGTCAGTCACAAGTGATGTGGATCCCTTGACTGGAGATATATCCTGTCTTAGTGCGGATAAATCAGGCTTTGTGTTGGTCGCTCGTGGCCGAACGTTATAATTTGCATTTGTCAAGCGCACCATTGATGATTTCCAATAAGGATGGAACAGTCGTACATTGCTTCTCGGCTTTTCATCACACAATGGTTTCCCATACATAAGTACAAAAACTTCATACTATAAAAGATTGTGCTGTCGCTCTAGAAGCGAAAATCAGAATGTTGTCTTGTCAGGGAGAATTCGGCTGACGCGTTCTCCGTGTCATCTACGCCTCATTGCTGACCGTAAACGACCGGCTTCTTCGTTTATGGTATCTACGCTTGCTCAGCAGCCTGACTGGATCGACCGCGAAATCATGTGAGTCGAACGACCGTAAACTTCATAAAAAAAACCTATATGCGACGGTGTCATTTAAAGCATCTTGACGAGACCTATGAAACTTCAACATCTTAGCTACTGTTCCATTTTGTCAGGTTGACTATAAACTCCCTTTATAAACAATTACCGATGTCAATGCGCCAACATACGTTTTCGTAAGCCTTTTCAATCCGATCGCTATTTAGCTTCCGATTGAAAAAACTGCGAGGTAAAACCGTGGTTACCAAAATTAACTAAACTTACATTTTCTTCTAGAAAACCAATATGGGAATTCCCACCATGGCCAGAGTAGAAGATAAACACATTGTCATCACGACCGCTGTTAGTGGGCAGAAAGTTCACGGTGGACTTCAGGAGGAGCTTATTGGGTGGCGCTCCCACGCGTAGTATAGCAAAAAACCCGCGGAAACGGAAGGACAGCAAACACGTAATTTAGAATATTGTTTTATACACGATTTTGGATACGATCAGTAGCTGAAGTAACTTCCACTTGTCTACTATTTGCATGGCCACATGAATATGGGAATGAATAATCAATTGTTCAGTCGTCCGTTGGTTACTTCTTGCATCATGGGATGTAGTCGTTTCTATGGTTTTAACAACATGAAGGCGGTTTCAGGCAGTGTTTATCATCTTGCCTCTGCAACGGTCACACTTAGCTCTTTCAGAAACACGCGTGTGTTAGCATGATTACATCTGTTACATAAATTATCTACATATTGCATACACTACGGAGGAAAAATATTATAACCAAGGTGAGGCGAACCTACATTTTGAACGCGGATATCCCAGAAGCCAAATGTTTTTATCCAAAAATGGTTTGGAAATGATCCGTTTGCTGGTCGCTCATCAGGATGATGTTCACCTGTTCTTTGTCCTTGGTGATGTTTCAAGTCCAACCAGAGTGACATCATATGTGAATGTTTGGGTCTGAAGTTCCTCCATACCTGTCTGAAATTAAGTGGCTGTCGCAGCGAAAGGGAGCATGGACTAATCGGGGTCCATATGGTCCATTTCGAACTATGCTGCGTTGTGGCCTGCATCCTCTGAATTCGGTTGCTGTTTAAAGTAGTTTCTGTCTGAAGACCTTTTGTTCATAGTCTGATTGATCGCCTACAGATTTCTGTCGTGTCGCATTATGGCCTTCCACATTCGTTGTCACACAAATTTCTGGGTTCGGTAGTTCATTTTGATTCGTTGTTTCTGAATTGCTGTTGTGTTTTAGCCCGAGCTTCGGAGTTTGTTTTCGCAGAGGCTTTTCCAGTAAATACACCTGGTTTATTGTGAGGATGACTCTATCATTTTGATCACCTATTCTATAAACCATCTCTTCTTCCCTCTGTATCCCAACAAACTACAGGCGGGATCGGAAAAAACTGATTTTGTTCAATTTAGTATTCGAAAAGCTTTTAACCACCTTTCTGTTAATTTACTTATTAGATCTGTTTCCGAACCTGGTTAAAGCCGAAAAGCAAACCAGATAGTGGAAAGATTGACAGAAAAAGATAAAGTGGACTTGGGTCTCGATCATGCAAACAACGGTGTTCATTTGCGTTTTCCAAACCGTGAGTTAAAACAACCGAATCTGAGCAAACCAAAGTCGACCGACCCAGAGTTTACAACACCGAGCAGACTTCTGACCACTCAAAATTGCGCATATCTGCATATTTCCGAAACCTGTTCACAGTGCCGATTGCTGTCTATGATTTAATGATAACCCATACACTGAAGTGGATAAACTGGGTTTCCTGGAGTGAACTAAATCCTTCTTTACTGACTTCTGGGAGGCTTACTTAAAGAGATTATGTACCAAGTTACTTGCGAGAATACTAGACACGCACTTCGTAAATCCGAAGACGGTGGCCTGCAAAACTAGAATTCTGGATGAGATCCACAAGCGCATCAACAATATCCACTTCCGCGCAAACTCACCTTTTCAGCACCTTCTTCTTGTTGGCTTCAAGTTTCTCATCGCCTTTTAATACATTCACGAAGTTATCCCGTGTGACATCCTAAAATGGATGAAAATGCATGGCCATTTATTCCTGTGACAATGGTGTTCTGCACATTCATTTTATTCACAGTAACCATCCATTTGCAATCTAACAAATAATTGAAATGTAAGCTCTTCCCTCGATCTTCACTCATCATTTTCCCGATGGTCGTTGTATGCTGAAAACTGGAGAATTCGCTTGGTGATCAGTTTACCAAGCATGACAACTGGATTTGCTCCACGAGCCTAGTGTTAGTAGTTGAGTTCAACCTGGACTACCAGGGAGCATTACCAAGTAGCCCACATCTCTACCTCAGTAGCTAAGGAATTCAACCTAAATGAGGAATAGCCCCTATCTTGAAGTGAGTATCATTCATCAGCACTCAACTGAATCACACTTGGGCATCCCTTATCTATGATAGACTTTGACTGGATGTGCTGTCCGGGATATCACAGGATATTTTCTTCAAGAAAGCTATTCGGACACTGTTGATCCTCTTGCACTTTTCACGGCTCTTTAGGCAAGAAAGCTTGCCTACTGGATAAGCCAAATGCATAAGGTTGAACTCGGTCATGGGCTGCCTGAAAGTTCTATATGACCTTAGGACCAGTGTTCGTTCAAGTGGATTGACTATTCTGTAACATAGTAAAACTGATTATTCTGCCCTGAGGTTTGTATTGACTTTTCATCCGCAGTGTCACTGTACTTGCGTCTTGTGGTACCCGGTTAAATGATGCTGGAAATTACTTGATTGCTGCGCACCGGAACACGGCCTTACTTTTCCACGGTAGTCAATTACCACACCGTTGTAGACATCTACGTGCTCGTATTGATGGAACACTTTGCCTTTAAACGGATTCCTGGAATAAAAGAATGAAAAGTGGCAGTGGGTTTTTTGAGAGAAATTAACATGTAGGTCGAATAGAAAAATGAAAGGTTAATAAATGCTGCTGGAAGTTGTTTCGTGGGCTTGTTCCGGTGAACTTTTCTCGGCGATGAGTGCACCTTTTCTCCTTTCACACATTCGATTGAGTGTGACCAATAATCCTTTACGAAAAATAATTTAGGTATCCTGCAATGATCCCCGTAGAGTGCACAACAGAGAAAATTACAAATTTGGTGCAAAAATGTAATTCTTTAGGTAACTTTACGTTCAAAGATTTTTCTCCTCTTCGGCTGCACCACAAAATGTTTAGCTCAGTAGATTGTCTGCTTACTATTTGCTCCAAATCATCAGAGTGGTGATGCACAAAAACATCTAGACACCAATGCGATTACGTTCAGTCTACTAACAAATCAAACATCCTCAGTCTCATCATTATCATCACCGTCATCATGCTGATCATCATCATCCTGATCATCATTCTGTTGATCACCATCATCATCATCAGCAGCAGCAGCACTAAAACGACATACGGATATGAATGAGATTCATTTCTGACTACTCAAACAAGCGCATATCTTCACCACCATCGTCACCATTATTAACATCATCAGAATGCGTTGCTTGCAACAGGGTTGTATGACGTCTACAGTCATGAAAACGCATCAAGCAAAGGCAATTCTGATATGACGGCAAAACTTTCAGACATGTTAAAGCCAGACAACGAAGCGCGTTTCTACACTCTACTTGTTATCATTTAGCGAAACGTTTACGCAATATTTACCTGGGATTGTTTGCAATATCGTCGAAGGCGAAGGTAATTATATTCTCCGGTGGAACATTGTACTTGCGCACCAATTGATACGCGTGAAAAACGTCCGCCTGAATGAGAACACAATGACAAAAAGATCAAGGATGAACTGAGGCAGAGTGTTGCATGAAAGGATAAAGAATACAAGCAGTGTGTAGGATAATCCATACTTGGTGAAGTATCATTTATTCAAACATCATTCTTATGCATCATGCCAGGAACAGGAAACATGATTCTACTGTGGAAGGGCTTGTGTGGATGAAAGTTCCACATGCATTCAAGTGTCCCAGCAACGACCTGCTCACCGAAGCTGTGCAAACTTGGTATCCCTTGACTTCGAAATTACTTCCGAATCTGTCGTTCGCTTTTCTGCTAGAGAAATAGTCACATTGTGGCGAAAATCAGTGGCGATAATTTTTTACACACTGATTCTTGAGAACGCATACAGACGCACTGATTTTATGTAACAATTTTATGTAACAATGTAGAAATTCGTTTCACAACAAGGGAATAATGACGAAAACCAATGAAGCCCAAAAATTGTGCCGCCATTAGTGTGTCCATTAGTTGTGGCTTCTATCCGCCGCCTTTTCGAGTGAAATATCACAGCCATGGAGAAAGCTATGTAGAACGCAACTGTTTGGGGGACTACTGTAGCACACTTACACTTTGGAAACCATTTCTTGTGGGATTCAGGTGAACTTCTGAGCCTAAAACCAATAAAACACCAACAGAAACCTACCTGATGTCGATAATTTCGCCAGGTGTTGGAACCAGCGGCCAGAACAATCCAGTTCTTTGACGGACGGTTGTGAAATAAGGATGACCAATTGCCGACACTGACGGCGTCCAACCATGCAATGTGGTCGATGCAGAGAAAGAACGCTATAAGAGGCGAACAAAGACGCATCTTATTCAGGCTTATTTGAAGCTTCATGTGCCTGGAACTTTATACTGCCTCGTGTGAATGAACTTTGCCTTAATAATGTATGGCAACAACGTGAAAATGATACACACCAAAAATCTAATAGGTTTGTGGTATAACGTTTATGCTAATTGGGGTATGATAAACCGTTTTGATCAGCTCGTTCAATGGCTGATCATTCGCTCAGGTTTTTTCAACAACGCGCGCACATTGATGATTTTTTTCTTTTCTATGACAAATGTGGATCATTTGATTGAGCACTTATGTATTTCAGACGGTACTGAGCAGCAAATTGAGTATGCAAAATAGTTTCACGTAGCGGCTGCTCCCGGGGATTCTCGATGCAGCTTTCAGGAACAAGTTGATTTTCGCGTGGCTTGGTGTAAATCGTTAACTCGGCAACAACAATTACGAATCCAGTGGCGCTTTCGTCCCCACTCGTACTGCTCGATAATGTCCTGCATGTATGATGAAGAGGTCCGGAGAACAAAACCTCCCTAGTTTGGCTAAGCCTGACCCACTTCAATGACTTAAATCCAGAGGGAATGAACACTCCAGAAATCTGATGAAAGGAAGACCGAATTCCTGAAAACGTATTCCGAAATGCCCAAAACCTACTGAGACCCACAAACTACACCAAAACTTTAATTGACAAAACATCAGGAAAGCCAAATAGCCAGTTGTCTGGACTGAAGATCAAACGTGCGCGATGCTCTTCATAATTTTCGAACTCCCGTGTTCGTTGTGTTCCTTATTGATGAGTGCTTCTCCTATGGTAAGATGTTGAAACGAAAGCAGTTCCTCGATAATGAACCGTCAAGAAGCACGCACGAGGTGCGATCAATAGTGAAACCCGGGGTTTATTCATTTTTCTTTTGACTGCACAAAAGTGAATAACATTTTGGATGGAAAAATACGGCGGATGTTCAATTCTGCTAAGTCGCCGAGTTCTGATGTCCTTATCCCGGGTACATATATGATGGCTAAATGAGTAGTGAAAAAAAAACGAATACGCTGAGGGAATTGGTCATTCAATGGAAAAGGCGGAAACACGAATGATTGACACTCAGCACGCCACCTTCCCATGTCGTATTTATCAGATGCTTCCAGACAACGAAGAGGGCGGTTGAGTGACTTGGACGGTCACACGTGTCACAAGACTAAGGCAGACTCAGCGTTCGTACGAAATATTTTTCATAGCACAGTACCGGGTTTCTCAGGCGTACAGTGGCTGACTCGGCCATTATCAAGCAACGTCGTTGAGTAGACACTGGCAGTCTACTTGGCACGCGGTAAATGATTTGAAACGATTGATTTGGCAAGACTACGTGCCCGGTGTCGTTTATGTGGGATGCGACTGAGCTCCTGGCTGAACTGTTGTGGTTAGTGGTATTCCGCCAAGAGAGGTGCTCGCGCATTCTCTTAGAAAGTTGCCGTGGCGTGCGCCCAACCTACTCCGCCGAACAACAGCAAGAGAAAGAATACACAACCGTGTTCTGGGTGAGGACTGGCATCTTGTCTATGGGGTTTAAGTGGAGTAAAGTGTTTGTTGTGAACCTAGGCCGCAGAGTTCCATCCGGAAACGTGCTTTGTAAGGACTGAAACAAGCGGCGATCGAATATGTCCGCCAACAGATAGCCTCTATAGGGTAGACTCAAGTATATTGGCTTTTTTCCAGCGGTCGTGATAGACGGTTGGATAGGGCGGTCGGATATATGCTTGGTTATAAACCTCTCCGGGTTACCATTGGCTCATAGCAGGTTAGCAGTTTACTGTCGTTCAGGGTCTAGTGTATCAGCAGGGCAACTAGGTTTTGCTTGGTTCTTTTAAATTTGAATCAAGGTTCGTTTCCGCCTCAGTGGCGCAAAACTCAAGAAGTTATTGTACTGCCCCATACATGTGGGATTTCTCTAGACAGATCTCCGAATTGAACCCGTGGATATTTTGACTAACTTAACGTCCAAGAAGCGGAAAGCATTGTCACTTTCAGTTTCAAAAGTGGACTGGTTAGAGGGATATGCTTGCTTAAAATCGGTCAAAAGAGCACCCATTTCGGAACCTTTTTATACTAGCATAAAATATCAACTACGCGCTTTTGATAAAAGTTTGTATGCCATATCTCACCATTCATTCGTCCAAGCTCCAATCTGCCAGAAAATGTCACTCAAGATTCAGCCAAGAGAAGAACCCATGGCTAATTCATCGATTTGTCGGTAAATTGTGGGGACAAATTAAAATTTTATGTTGAATGTACTGAGAAGTGGTAGTTGTTTTAAAGAGGTTGTGTGGATTGGGATTGTCAGATGTGATGAGTCAATGAATTCACAGAAGATATATAGTCTCCGGGAGTAACATGTTTGTAAACGGGGAAGTTACCACAAAATAGCACACAAATTAGCAAAGAATAACCAAATCCGATATTATGTCCACAAACCCACTAACTCTACAAACATATTTGCTCAGCAAATAAACTCGACCCTGAACGAAAGTAAACTGCTAACCTGCTATGAGCCAATGGTAACCCGGAGAGGTTTATAACCAAGCATATATC